TGAGCGGGAGTAGTGGGGTGCGTTATGACCGGGCGTTGAGATATTTGTTTGAAAGATGAGACATCAAAGGCGACTTGGGAGTGACATCTAGATTGAACACTCTCAATCGAATGGACACGTCCGAGCGGACTGGGTTACCCAATCCGAAGGCATTTCTAACTGGGCCTCACCTGCAAGATTATACGTTGATTTTATCAGATGCATGTGAATGGTATATCCTTATCAAACAGGATGTCATGATGGACTTTCTATACTTTTACCGCAGCGTCACGTTGTTGCTGTTCTTCTACTTAATAATAATAATAATAATAATGATATATTAAAATAATATATTACAGAGGTACATTAAGGAATTAACAAAAATTAGGAACAATATCTAATTCATTTACCAGATATTAAGAACAATATCTAATAATAAAATAGAATAATTACAACAATATACCGTAATCAAAGTTATGTGACGGATACAAATTCATTTTTACTGTAGATCTTATTAGGCACAATAAGAGATTAAGAACAATATCTAATAATAAAATAGGATAATTATTAATTATAACAATATACTCTAATAAAAGTTATTTGACGGATAAAAGATTTGTTCTTATCGTAGATTTTATTAGGCACAGTAAGAGATTAACAACAATAACTAATTATGAAATAAAACAATTATAACAGTATACTTTAATAAAAGTTATGTGACGAATTAAACTAAGTACCTCCAAAAAATTCGTATACGTAAGGTTTAAATATATTTTTCATAAAGAAAAAATCCGTTTTGAAGATTTCCGCCAGTTTCAATTGAAAGCTAATGGATTAAATTTTCTAATTCCTGAAAAAAATACTGTGGAGTATTTCAAATAGAATTTTCAATGATTTTCACTTGATTCTTCTAGAAAACCAATCGAAACGGCCATTCAATGTTAAAATAAAACGGTATTTAATTATAACCGCAATTAAGTACTTAAGAACAAAGAAGTAAATGTCATCAAAATATAATTAACCATTTCCGTAGACACCTTGTTAGTAGCACGGATCGGATTAATGTCCGGTAAATCCTAAATCAAAACCCAAATCATCGACGAACAATAATTCACACTAATTCGACTGGATAGTTCCACTCAATAGTCACTGCAGTTAGTAGCCTGACACTGTTATTTATACACCTAGCGAAAAACATATATTCATAAGTCCAGAGTGTTACGTTCGAACCTTGGTGTCGGTAGTTAGTCATTTTCTTCCTATATGACAATAACAAAGAGACAAAATTTATTAAGAGCTACAAAAAAGAGAAAACTGTGGAAAACCATGATCACCTACTCCCTGTGGCACATAGAAAAAGAGCACTGGGTCGTATTATACTCAAGTTGTATAATACACAAGAATATACAGTAATCGTTATTTTCCCTTTTAGTTACATCTGCTATTCAATTTAGTTATTGCTGCTGTTGGAAGTCTTCAAGTTTCTGTTATTTCTTTGCTTGTGATTTTTGTTGTGCCATTTAAAACATATTCGCTTGTCTCCATTTTAATCACTGATCTGATAAAACGGTTATATAACATTGACAGTTTGGATATTCAATAAAGATTATTGTTTAAACGACTCATGATAAATAATTGATTGATTCGTATTCTACGGCTTATCAACCCTTTGCAGGTTATTTAAAGCCAGAAAACATTTTTAGATTGTAAGAATTTGTTTTTAAGATAAAATGATTTAGTGATGCACCTCTTACTAAATAACCCATAGCTGGGGGAGAAGAGGTGGGTTCATACCTAATTAGAATTTGATAAACAAGCAAGAAATTATAATGTGGATATAAAGTGGGGATCAATTCTATATCAAAATCAATATATAAACTGGCCCATCGCTTTGTTGCCACGGTAGTTTCTATATACTTATATTCCATAGAATGTAAATAAATCTAAAATACATGTCTGTGTAGCTAATCAATATTTGATTGATTGATTGATTGATCGATTGATTGATTGATTGATTGATTCGTTTTCTATGGCTTATTCTTTGCTGGTTATTTAAAGCCAGAAAATATTTTTAGATTGTAAGAATTTTTTTAGATAATAATGATTTAGTGATACTGTTGTGACTTGTTAGGGGTCAGAAAGAAAGACACGGAAAAAAGAAGGTAGGTAGAACAAGTGTATTGAAATAACAGAACATATATACAAAATAAGAGTGTTATTAGTCAGCAGATAGAAGTGTCCATCCGAACTGTCAGGTTACACTGCATCCCGACTCCCTCCTTAGGAAGTCTCGTAGATTAGTATTTATGAAGGAAGATGAGTTCATTCTAATGTAGATAGGTCACTATAACAGATACAACTTTTACTAGTTAACCCATAGCTCGGAGTAGGAGAGGTGGATTCATACCATTCCCAAGAGTTTTTGCGCGTAAGTGAATAAAACGGACCCAACTAGAATTGGAACTTGGTTATCTGTTTAACAATTCTAAGCCATTATCCATTACAGCCCCTCACATCGAAGCTTACAGCACCTGGTATTCCTAAGCGGTTACTCATCAAGGTACTGGCCAGATTCGACGTTGCTTAACTTCGGTGCTCGTATGGGAACTAGTGTTTCAACGTGATTATGGCTGTAATGCTGGACAATTTCCTCACAGAGGAAGAGGAGACTTCAGACAACAGGCGTTGTTCTATAGATAAGCGCTGAGATAAATCGAACATGTGAGAAACGAGGATCTTTGAAAAAGTATGAAAACAAAAACGACACTTATACTTAGAATAAGAAGGCGTTAGTTGAAATATCCCTGACCCATAATGAGGAAAGAGGGGTTGAAGAATTTAACACTCATAAGGTATGTCGACGGCAAAACGGACAGAGGGAAACAGTGAGTAACCTGCTTAACAAGCTCGTTTAAATGGATGTCAAAAGAGGGAGTGAGAGGGATAGATTGAAGATAAATAATTCTAAGAGCTACATTGTATAGAAAGAAAGCTGTAGAGGACCGTGATTACCAACGTTCTGAAACGACACGACACAGAAGATTTAATTTTTCACTGTCTTAACCTGGCAAAAGGTTAAAAATTATGAAGCGCTCAGGGAAGACAGGATTAACTCGAATAATAATTAACTGTCAGTCGAGCGTGGAAAATATCAAAACTTTTTTTTTTTAGTGACCGCGCGATTCATGAAACCATTTTGTTTCCTCTCGCCAAATAAGAGCTCAAATGCCTTTTCCTCTCTCCATCGGTCTGACCCAGGATCTGATCGGGTACACTGTACCCAGTTTCGGGTAGTTTTCACGCTACAGTGAGTTTAATCTCAGCCATCATATGCCAGCACAAGTTTCTGTCAGACGGACAAGGTTTAACCAGTGTCTTGCCAACATTTCACCAGACAGATTGAATACATCGTTGCATTTACCATGTATGAGAAGAAGCGATCAACACACACACACACACACACACACACACACACACACACACACACACACACACACGCACATATATATATATATATATATATATATATATATATATATATATATATATATATAAAGTGTGGATGGTCCTGCACGAGGTATTCACCACTATAATCAAATCTCATATGTCGTTGTCGGGCTGTCGGTTTCCTGAAACTGATCTGCTTGACCCTCATACGTCGAAATCGACGGAGAGTCGACTATATATATATATATATATATATATATATATATATATATATATATATATATATTATATCTTCGATAATGGCTAATAATTGTTCGGACTGTTGTCCTCATCACTATTGTCACATTCATAACGTTTCGGCCATTGCACGCCCGGTCTTCCTCAAGAGATATTTGTTTGAATTTCGAACCGAACCCAGAATAGAAAACCTGCATGTTGATGTTTCTGAAGATTGGTTCTATGCTAGCCTCATCGAACCAAATCCAAACAAATATCACGCGAGGAAGGCCAGAGATTACAGCAGCCGAAACGTTGTGAAAGTGGCAATAAAGATGACGACAACAATCCGAACAATGTGAACAGCATAAATTGTTACAATGCTACGTCTCAGAAATATAGACAGATATTGAATAATTTATCTTTAAATATGTACCTGAAACTTTCGGTCTTTAATCAAACTTCTATAAACGAAAATCTGCCTCCCAAATACACTCGATATATATATATATATATATATATATATATATATATATATATATATATCATAAAGAAATAATTTATACAAAGAATTAATTAGCAGTGTTAATGAGATTAATGGCGAAGTCACTTCGCCAACAAGACTTAATGAGACATTAACTTACTCTCAAATCCTTGAATAATACGATCCTTATATTTGAATTATTGTATATTTGAGTTGTTGTCAGATGGCACTGACGAGTCTAGTACTTTCGACAATTTCAAATTGTCATCTTCAGGGGGCAATTTTTTCCTTATACAGACGAAACAAGATGAAATGTGTATAGTGTAGACCGAAAGATGTTTTTTTAAAAATAATAAAACTGTCAATTTAACTGTCAATAAATAGCATAGTTTCGGCCCATTAAGCCCAGTACCTATCCACACGGTGGGCAAACCGTGTGAAGAGGTATTGAGATTAATGGGCCGAAATATATATATATATATATATATATATATATAACAGCATGGCCCGGCGTTGCCCGTGCTTGATTCAAAAATTGTACCACTCATACAGCAATCGCTATCACTTGACTTAAAATATTTTTGCCCTTCCTTGCCTTTAAAGGAGTGCCATTTTCCATGCTGATGTTGCTACATGCCTTACTTCTTGCCTATCTCACACTGCAATTTTTTTCTAAGCTCTATACTAAACATTAAATCTGTTACGAAAAAAGAACTAAACAAAATGAACACAAAACGATCAGCTTTAAAAAAGGACTCATAACTGGAAAAACCGAATGAAAAAAGAATGTTAACAACAAATACTTTTTCACACGCAACCCAATTCTGCGGAATCAGAATCAACGTTGAGTTTAAGCAAGCGAATGAGCCAATTGGAGAAAAGTGCCATGCAGATTTAATTTTTCCCACTTGTAACGAATGCAGCTATCGATTTTTTTAGCATGCTAGTTAACATTCGTGTCAGTCAGCTGTTGGCTCTGACGCTGGCCAGTAGAATCTTCCTGCCTATTTGTGGCAGCCAGCTATTGGCTCTCACTCTGGCCAGTAGAAAATGGCCGCAAACTACATGGAAACTCCCGTAGAAGCATGAAAAAATCGATTATTTCCACTATCGATGGGAGTTGGAAAATGCAATGTCGGTCATGGCCTGCCCGCTTACTTGGAGCATGTGCATGTAAATTTTGGTGCAAATCCGTCGTACGATTTTAAGTCAAGTGATAGCGATTGCTGTATGAGTCGTACGATTTTTGAATCAAGCACGGGCAACGCCGGGCTATACTGCTAGTATTTTAATTTTAAATTTAATTTTATTTAACAAAATAAAACAAAGGGAGTCTTATATAGCAATTTCAAATAAAATCTAAAAAGCATTGATGGCATTACATAAGGATTCAAATATCCAATCTAGCAGTGAAAAATTTTAAGCCTTAAAATAATATAATATACAGGCTGCGATGGATAAATTGTCGTCTAAATTACACAAAAATGAAAATAGCACTGACATCTAATTTTAACGGATATATTTAGCAAAATAACATAAAAATATCTTGAAATACTAAAGAGTAATCTTATTCAATAAAATCGTCATTGCCTTCAACCATAATCTCCAGACGACTTCGGAATCTCCTCCAACTTTTCTGGACGGTCTCCTTGTTTAATTTGGTGAATCATTACCTTCAGTTCATCTTTAGTGTCACAAGAAGTGTTGTTGGTCTCTCGCTCAACTGCACCCTACACATAATAATCAAGGGGGTTGCAGTCTGGGTTAGGGTTGGCTAGATGTAAGGGGTGATGTGGTCGCAGAAATTGTCAGACAGCTATGACTGAGTTTTCCTGATTGTGTGACGTGGTGCAGAGTCCTGTTGCCAGATATAGGATCTCCCAGCAGCCACCATCTTGACCGAGGGCAGCACTACATTCTGAAGGCACTTGATGTAGACCTTCGTGTTGAGTCTGAGGCCTTAATAGAAGATGAATAGAGGCATAACGTTGCCATTATTAGTGATCAATCCAAACACTATGATGATGACTGGATATGTCATCCAACTCGTTCCGGATCCTCTGCAATGTCCTCAGATTGACACCCAAACACTGTGAAATGATCGTATTGGAGCTTCCGGCGCGAATGCCAAGCAGTACTGCATACCGTTTCCAAATTTCCAATGGAGTTAATTACATCATTTCGCTCTTTTTTTTTCCTATGGACAGTGCCTAACTGACCCTACTATACTGTGAAGTCAACAAAATCAAAAAACAAACAACGCGCATACGCAAAATTAAAAACAAAAAACAAAATGGCGGCAATTTACATATCGCTCCCTGTAAAAGTCATTTTTATAACAATGATATATAGATATTAAAATGACCATGACTGAAAGAAATTCGAATTGTTACCATCACTTTTGGTCATTTCTCTTCATGACATTTATTTAGAACTTCAGTAAAGCGCATCGGATGAAATCAATTTACACAATTTTCGAACGTCAATTTTTTTTTTTTTCTTTTTTTTTTATAAAAAGAAAATAACGTTTTTTCACTACCTATTCTCGCGTGATCATCAAAAAGTAAATAAATACGAAAAGAAAAGAGAAAAGTGACATTGATATGTGAAGCTTATAACTGTAAACTCCTGAGACTCCAGTTAGGGTTTTTGTTTTTTTTTATGGGGAAAACGACCAAGATTACAATACGATATTTTAGAAATCATTTTATGGGTCACCTGTGTCCAACGAACTTTTTTTTTCTTCCACCCACCCCCCATTTTCCTGACTGGAAAAGGTTAAGGGTTGTGGAGTTTGAGCCAAGAGCTAATAGGGTTTCATTTTATTTCATATTATTTATTTAGTTTAGGAGAAAGACGTGTAGCGATGAGAGTGTAGAATTAAAGAAAAAGAAACATCATTGACGCATGTGACAGGTTGAGATGGAAAAAAAGATAGAATCGGAGAGACTGTATATATATATATATATATAATTTATGTATGTGTATACATATTTGTATGTGTGGATAAATAGATAGATAGATAGATAGATAGATAGATAGATAACAGACCGGATAAGATAGGTACGTTGGTAGGCACCTCCATTAATTCGCTGAAAAAGAGCATACCATGGCGAGGAAAAGATCCCAAACTTGATAAAAACAAACTTATATCGTCAAAATTTTTATCTACTAAGTGGAAAGGCCAAAGTATCTTTCAGTATTTTATTATTTTTTGTAATACTTTCTAGCACGTTCGAAATTTTTCTTAAAATTCTCGTTTTTATTTTGTTTTTTTTGGGGGGGGGTACGTTAGTGGGTGGGCCAAAGATTAGTATAGGGAATTTTAGCGTCTTTTTTTTTTTTTTTTTTTTGGCGTTGAAAACACATCGTTTTGGAAATTCTTGCAAAAATCAGATAATTGCCGGATTTTAATGAAACTTTCAGGACTTAATCCTAAATGAATTAAATTGTTTCAGAATATTTCTTTAGAAAATCTTGGTAAAAA